GATGACCGAGACATATGATCCAGATAATCCCAATAATGATGATTACTTCTAATACATGTAATACTATGTTATTTTGTAATCGTGTTTTGTTTTTTTATTTAGCATCTATTTTTAACACATGTACTAATATGTCTTATCATTTCTTTTTTAATTGCGGGTGATTGAACAAAGATGGCGGGCGATCGTGTGCCAAGGCGTGAACTCGAGGTTCATGAGGGCACGCTGATGTGAGATCCGGATGCTTGAAGAGGGGTCGTTAGGCGGGAGGAGGTAGAGGCAGGAGAAGCGGTGGTGGCGGCGATGAGGAGGGCCAGCCTCCTCTAGTCAGGCCGTGTGACGTGCCGGAGGAGGAGCGCCATACCCCGGACTCCTCGTACGAGGAGGACCTGGTTCGACAAATGGACGACGAGGGAGATGAGGCACAGCAGGGCGGCGAGGCTGGAGGCACAGCTGGTTCGGACTCCTCTGCTGTGGCTGCAGGATCTACTTGCGAGTCCCTTGAAACTCCCTAGGCCTCCGCTTCTTCCCTACGCCTTGATGATCCACCCCGTGGGGACAGGTAAGTAACTTTATATTTTATCACAGCTACTTCATATAACCTGTTGAAAATTGTCGAGAGAACTAATAATGTTTGTTAATGACGCGTTGTGCGAGCCTTGTTCGGGTTGTGTCATCTGGTGACTCCATAACCCAACCACATCCACGGGTCTTGTGTGCGAGCACTTTTACCCGGCATTATCACGCACAAGGGGAACATTGAGCGCCAAATCGTGGGACCACTACAAAGATGCCCCCAGCGCATGTGGAGATAAGGCGGAAGCGGGTGAGAGAGAGTTACAGGTAAGTCTCGCTCGCACAACTTTGATCAATACATCGCATTCATTTGACTTTTTTTGACATAATGAATTGATACATTGTGTCTGTTTGCAGACTTTTTTCAGATGTGAAGAGGGACAGGAGGACAGGGCGGAGAAGGTGATGGTGAAAAGTGCCAGGAAACAAATCACCGACATGAACTACGAGGAGCGCCTCACTTGCATCGTCAAGTACTACGCCAAGCACCTTGGTGAGAAGATCACCAAGACATAGGCAAGACAGAGGACACTGACCCGGGAACAGTACCTTAAGGTAAATGAAGAAGAATAATACTGATTCGTTTTGAGATTAAGTAGCTTTAATTTGGTCTTCTTACATCTCAAATTCTTTATGACATGTAGACAATTCCATAGTGGTGCGAGTCGTATTGGGACTGCTGGGAGATGATCGTGGACAGGTGGTTCATGGAGGGTTATATCTAGGACCACGAGGCGGGGCAGGAGCGGCGTATGGCAGCGACAGGCCCCACGCACCATCAAGGCAGCCGCAGCCTCGGCGCGTACAAGCAAGCATGTGTACGTAAATTTTTAGTATTCTTACGCTCCATGCTGCATGTTTCTTCTAATCATCTTGTTGTCTTTCTCGCAGTCGGTGTCACATGGTGGGCAGTCCATCTCCAATTTCATGGCATATGGTCTAGCCCGCAAGGGTAAGGCGACGTCATTATCACCTTCACCCGGATGACCCGCCTGAGAGTCCTGACAACCCGGCGTTCACACCGCATCGGTTCAGATGCGTCGGAGGCAAGGTCGGTCCATGGGCCAGACTAGGATCCGAGCACCGACGACATAGATGGGACGATGGTCATGAGGCTCGGACAAGGCAAGAAGCATGGGCGGTACTGGATAGGCGATGGCATCCTTGAGCCCAGCCGAGATTCCTCCCTCTCCCGAGCCAAGCCACAGACCCGAAGCGGAGGCCCGGCCATACGCATGCGGCCGTCCCCTTCACAACAATGGTCGACGACCTCGAGTTAGTCCCATTTGACTCTTCGTACATTGATCTTTAAATAACTTAGTTACCTTTGCATTCTGAAAAACATTGATTCAAATATTGCGGGCCGATAACGAGAGGATGGCTTAGGAGCTGCGGGACCTGGCGGCGAGGACCGAGCAGGCCGAGCAGGAAAGATAGGCCAAGCGGGCCGAGCGGGAAAGGCAGGCCAAGCAGCTGGCGGAGATTACGACGTTCTCAAGAACTTTGGGCAAATGCGGTGTAGGCTGTGCATGATTCGCTCCACCGTCGCCGCCCGGTTATAGCTAGTCTGTGAGTATGAAACCAAATTGCTTCGACTAGTGCTTTCATTAGATGACCACTCTAACATATGCAATCTCTTGTCCTTTATGCAGCCTCCGTCGGTGAGGTTCGAATAACCCATCTCGGTAAGCAAAGTGACAACACTTTTCCTTCACCAAGCACTCGGTTTCCTCCCCACGGTAGTTTGTATCTCTTTTCACCGCTTGATGGACATGTGATGCAATTGTGATCAACTATCGACTTGTTTCGATGGATATTGGACCTATTATGCTTGTGATGTCGTGTATGTGAGATATTGTGTGATCGACATGTGATATATATGTGGTATTGCTGTGTGATGAGATGGATGTGATATATATGCGCTATATTGTGTTTGTGATGTCACAGATGTTATATATATCTCTTATATGTTGTGTTTGTGAATATAGAATCAAAAAAAATTAGCCTCTTTGCCGAAAGTGCGGGGCGGGGCACTTTCGGCAAAGAAATTGAAAAAAAAAATAAAAATATTTGAAGCGCCGCCGACTGGCAGGGCGCTCGGCAAAGAAATTATTAAAAAATCTTTGCGAGTGCCTCCCGGTAGGGCACTCGGCAAAGAAATGAAAAAAAAAATTAAAAAATCTTTGCCGAAGGCGCCTCGGACATGACACTCGGCAAAGCAAGCATGCTAACGGAACCGGTGCCGTGGACGGGGACTTTTCTTTGCCAGTGCGAGATTGCACTCGGCAAAGACTCACTTGAGTGCCCGATAAAAGCGCCGGCAAAGAATTCTTTGCCGACGGATTTTTTACGGAGGCGCTTTGCGAGTGTTGTCCTCGGCAAAGGCTTTGCCGAGGGGAAAGTAGCCTTTGCCGAAAGTGGCGAGTAGAGAAGGTGATCCGTTGTTTCACTGTCTTGGTCACAAAGACAGCAGGTGTTGTCATATAAAATGCAACCACTCAATTGTTTTGGCAACATACATTCCGACCATCAGTTTTCAATCAGACAAGCGAAACAAATGAATTGAGAAGCAGGATATTCAGTAGTATTTCACTAGTACTTAATTAGTACTTCCAAGTTCTTTATTATATGTTCGACATTGTTCTTTCCATCAGTATCTTACTATATAAACTATATACGGAGATAAGTGCCGGTACCAACTGCTAATTAAAACGTGACGAAGTAATTTTAAACTGCTCAACGCCTTGGAATCTCTACTGTTGCAGAGGCAGGTAGGTACGTTCTCTCTGACAACCGGTGATGAACTGAACTTTGCAATTCTTCTCGGACAACTAAACATTTAATAAATAGCACAAAAATATAATATGTCCTTCAATTGGCTCCCCCAAGTCGATTTCACACCAGATCGTTCATGATTGCAACGGATAAACTCAATTTCTTGCCTACATACGTGCAATCGGACAACCCAATTTTCAATTGGACCTGATGTACGTTGGAGCTATAGTATTTCACACGTACTACTTCATTGTTATTCTTCCAATATTTTACCTTGTATATCATTGTTCTTTCAAGGAATCGGTAGATAATTATATATGTAGCAATGAGAGACAAGTGCCGGTAGCAACTGCTGAGCGAATCCTTGTAGAGGCAACTAAGCTTTCCTCTAAGCCTCTGACCACTGATTGAATGAACATTGGTTATTTTTTCTGTACCAATTAGACATTTCAATTGTCAAACAATAATACATCCTATTGTCAGATCATGAAGTCAACCAACTAGAAGCTAAATTAATAAAGAACCATATATCATTATCAGCAAGCTGCAGTGCTGCACCATTTTCTTTGGAGGGCTTGGATATTCTTCTTCTGGAATGTGTGTAAAATATACTTGAATTATAGTGAGTTTTTCCTAGGTTAAAAATCTAGAGGATTATCTTGTGAAGCTAGGGACCAAATTACCATGTGATGCTTTACTTCGTTCACGCACAAAAATGTGACTCTGTCCGTATTCTGGATTAATACAAATCCTTGTAAGGAGAAAAAACATGGCGAATAATGACACTCTGCCAGGAGATTGAAATTATTGTACCACTATTGAGAAAAACATGCATGCGTGCTTGCTTTTGTTCATATCCTGGATTATTCCGCATGCATCTGCATCCACCGGCTCAATAATAGACGTGTTGCTGTCATAACTCATAACCCATGGAGTAGTGGTGCTCAGCTCATCAGCTCTATCAGTTTCAAGCTCAACTGAATCAGCTCGGTTAGTTTAGGAACCGCAATTCGCAATCATGCGACGGCTTAAGAGAACTCTACACCGGGTTAGTTTAATCACAATCATGCAACACGGTTTAAGGTTTGAGCTCCTCTCCGTATTCCCGAGTCACCTAACAGTAGGAGTTTTAGCCATCACACACTTAGACAGAAATTGGATTATATTTATCTGACCACAGTTGAACATATTATCAACATGTTTATTTGGAAGAGAAATAAAGAACGATAATGCAGTATTTTGAGTTAGAACATTTTTTATTTAAGCTGAAATATTTTCAGTTAGAACATTTTCTCATGGATGTGGAATATTTGTTATTATTAGAGAAATTAAGCTAGAATATTAAGTTGGAATATATATTAGCAACGAGAGACGTACAAGTGCCGGTAGCAAATGCTGAGCGAATCATTCAGAGGCAATGATAGGTGACTTCACTGCTGTCCGCACGACGCGCCGTCGTTGAAGAGCGCCGTGCTCAGCGCCGCATTGTTGATGCCGTAGCCCTGCTCGTACAGGTCGCTGTACCCGCACGCACCACCTGCATGCGTACGTACGTGCTCATCGATGAGATCAAAGTCTACACACATATATGTGTTGCAATGCATGCATGCGTACCCTGAACAACGCAAAGACAAAGGTAGCTAGATTGTTACCCATTGTGTCGGAGCCATTAGCGCCGCCGTAGAACGTGGCCGTGGCCGGAAGCCAGTCGCCCGATCTCGCCGGCGAGACGAAGAGTGCAAGGACGACGGCGAGTAGCTGGTGGAGGAAACGTTTCCCCATCTTGCTAGCTCGGAAATGGCGCCTGGCGATCGATCCCTGCTGCAGCTGCTACTAGAGAGTAGAGACAGTAGGCAGGTTTGGAGGTTGGAGGTGAGGAATGTCTGCAGCAATGGTGGTGCTTATATAGCTAGCTAGGGTTAGGGTCGAGCTCGAGTAGACGTACACTAGCTAGGGTTAGGGTCTGCAGCAATGGTCGTACAGGCATGCAAAGAATCTGATATTATTAGATTAGCTCTCGTTTAGTTCAAGCGAATTTGAATTTTGGGGCTACTGTAGCACCTTCGTTTTATTTGGCAAATAATGTTTAAACATGGACTAATTAGGCTTAAAACGTTCGTCTCGTAATTTTCCACCAAACTGTGCAATTAGTTTTTCTTTTCGTCTACATTTAATGCTTCATGCATGAGCCACAAACATTCGATGTGACAAGTACTATAACAACTTTTTAGAAATTAGGGTGGAACTAAACAAGGGCTATTCCAACAGAAATGCATGCATGGTTGAAACGGACAAACACTATTCCAACGACGATCGCATGCACATGGCTACAACGACCAGAGATTGACTTGAGCATTGTTTAATGATCGACCTGCATGCAGGTCTGTTTGGATAATCCGCCAACTAAGGGCCTGTTTTGATCTACCCAAATAAAGTAGTTTGATAAAATTTCAAAGTTAAAATTTAGCCAGCTAAAAGTTCCCTCAGCTAAACTTAGCTCGGGTGTTTAGATCGTTCAGCTAATAGGCTAAACTTTAGCTGGGTTTAGCTGAGTTTGAAGTAGCTAAACTTTAGCTTGTTTTTTGCTACGCCATTTTGATCCCTAGCAGCTAAATTTAGCCGGCTAAATTTTAGTTAGTGGATCCAAACAGACCCTAAAGTTTAGTTGGCTAAATTTAGCTGTTGTGGATCCAAACGGCCCAGCTAAAGTTTAGCTGAGTTTAGCTACATCAACTCTGCTAAACCCAGCTAAAGTTTAGCCGAGTCTATTAGCTGAATGATCTAAACACCTCAACTAAAGTTTAGCTGATGAACTTTTAGCTGGCTAAAGTTTAGCTTTAAAATTTTAGGTAGCTTAGCTTTGAAATTTTAGCTAGCTAAACTTTAGTTGGGTGGATCAAACAGGCCCTAATTAGAAAGCTGGTATGCATGTAGTTACAAGTAACCATACTCAACCGATGTTTGTAGTTATGCTAAAAGAAACCCCGATGTTTGTAGTTGTAGCGAGCCACTTAATTACTCGTTTGTTTGATGAAGGTTACGCACGTACAGTTCATCATTTTATTCTGTCTTTTATCTTGAAACATGATCCCTTATTTGGTGAGTATCTTCGTTGACCCATTGCTGTCATCCATTGTATATATTCCATGAGAATAATTAATTCCGCGGCATAAAAAAGAAGAAGAAGAGGATGCAACACATTTCATTCACGCAAGAACATTCCATTGCTGTCATCCATTGTATATATTCCATATCCCGTTTTCAATCGGACAAGCGAAACGAATGAGCATATATATACTGTATTATTTCACTAGTACGCTTAATTAGTACTACTTCACAGTTCTTTACTCATATGTTCAACATTGTTCTTTCGATCAGTATGTTATACTATATATAGAGATGATCGAGTGCCGGTACCAACTGCAAATTAAAACGTGAAGTTTTAAACTGCTCAAAGCCTTGGAATCGTTACTAGATTGCAGGGGCAGGTCGCTTCTCTCTTAGGCCTTGTTTAGATACACATGTATTCATCTCAATCCACATGTATTGAAGTGGATTGGAGTGAAATTAAACTAAGTTAATTTCATTCCATTCCACTACAACACATGTGGATTGGAGTGAATACACATACATCCAAACAAGGCCTGAAAATTATTGAACTAAACTTTGCAATTCTTGTGATGGTTTTATGAACCGACCCTGAAGATCGTTTTTAGCTGTTAGAAAAAAATTCTTTCCTGTATTAGATATTGTGTCTATATATTTGTCCCAATATTTAATTTGTTTGAGAATTCAACAACACATTAAAGAGAAAAAGGAAGATGCAACAGATTTCACACCAGATCGTTTCATGATGCAACCGATAAACTCAATTCCTTGCCAGCTACGTACAATCGGACAACCAATTTTCAATTGGACGTGAAGTACGTGGGGGGCTAGCATTTCTCTATTTTACTAGTACTTCATTGTTATTCTTCCAATATTTTACTTCATCATTGTTCTTTCAATGAATCAGTAGACAATCGTATGCAGCAATATATAATGAGAGACAAGCAAGTGCCGGTAGCAACTGCTGAGGGAATCCTCTTGAAGAGGCAGCTAATAAGGTTTGCTCTAAGCTTCTAATAACCACTGGCCGGGTGAAATGAACATTGATTATTATTTTTGGACCAATTAAACATTTCAATTGTCAAACAATATACATCTTGTTGTCAGATCACGAGGCCAACCAACTAGAAGTGTATCCTCGCACCTCCAAGAAAAAAAAGAAAGTGCAGCCTGCTGACAATATTATATGGTTCTAAGCTTCTTAGTTTGGTTCACTACTGGAGGCTGCAGCTTTGCCGAGTGTTTTTACACTCGGCAAAGAGCCATTTGCACTCGGCAAAGGCTTTGGCGAGTGCTTTTTATCGGGACACTCGGCAAAATAAAAAAAATTTGCCGAGTGCTTGGGGCGGCACTCGGCAAAATATTTTCGGCCGTTACGGCGCCGGCCGTTAACGGTTATTTTGCCGAGTGCCCGACCCAGCACTCGGCAAATTTTTTTTAAAAAAAATTACTTTGCCGAGTGCCCCAGCCCAGGCACTCGGCAAAGTTTTTTTTATTTTTTTTAAAAAGTACCCCTGCCCAGGCACTCGGCAAAGTTTTTTTTATTTTTTTAAAATAATTTCTTTGCCGAGTGCCCCTATTTAGGCACTCGGCAAAGAATTTCTGAATTTTTTTAAAAAAATACTTTGCCGAGTGCCTGGGCAGGGGCACTCGGCAAAGTACTTTTTTAAAAAAAATAAAAAAAAACTTTCAGGGCCCAAAACTGCCAGCAGGGATGTTCCAACAAAACAACAAGTTTGTAGGATTTCTATATACTCGTTTCTTCTTTTCTATTATTTTTGTTTCAAATTTATAATAAAAAAATGCTGTGCAATGGAAACGATCTTGTCTGCCTGCGATGTACCTACTATCAAGCGGAAAACCAGAGTACTAGGAAAAAAATGCCCATTTTCAAATAAACTAGAAAACCAAAGCCGCGCCATCTTGATCACCGATGTTATTTTATTGCGCTATAGTTAAACAATAGAGTATTGAAGCTCAATAAGGAGCTCTAAGGTGTTTGATATTTTCTCTCGTTTTGTTTGGCTGCTGTGCTCTCATTCTGTAGTTCAGCAATGTCACCCTACAATGACAAATTTAGAAAGCATAATAACATGATTACAGATGGATAGCATGGAGGAGAAATAAATGTAGCTTATATAGCGGATAAGATCATAAGGGTACAAAAGCAGTGTCGACAATAAGTAATAAGAACTACATCAATTATTTAGTAGAAAATAAATAAAGGTAAGTTGTTATGGCATTCTTTAATGACAATCTTCAATGAAATATTAGACAAAATAGCATATGTACTTACAGATATGACTGTTGTAGCAGCCAAAGACAAGCCTTTGATTTATGCTGATAAACATGAGAATGCTGTTAAGAACTCAATTAAGTGTTTGCTATTGATTAGACGGGAAGGTACATTGCTAACTACACATTCAATCCATATCATCTTTCTTGTACGTAATCAGTATCTGTGAACACTTACTTAGGAATGCCTACCTATCGCCAGAGCAGAGATGCATTTGACCTCTTCCTGCATGTTGTTTTTCCTCCGACAAATCTGAGTGTATCCAGCTTTTATATGTCTCTTTGGCTTATGAGTGGCCAATGATAATACCTACAACTTTGAAACCATGAACTGAGACCAAGGAAAACACAATGTCTAATCGTACCAAGATAAATGTGATGGAATGCCTTAGCTCAAGCTGTAATTCTTAACATGACTTCTGCAGGCTAAATTAGCACATTCAGATAATTTTAGGCATGCACAAATGTCATATTGTCACAAAGCTATAAGCATATGAAGACATATTATTATACTATATCCTAATCTGATAACCATTCAGGAACTCCTCCATCTAGAAGATTTAGCTTTTCACTTTACATAAGACTTCAGTTGATTTAATAAAGTGTGATGCAAATTATAAGTTATAACAGATTTGTTAGTGTGGATACAAGTTAATTTAATAAGTAATATAACATACTAATGCTCTGATAACCTACTTCTGGGCTCTAATTTACAAAACTGTGTATCACTACAGTGCCAAGGCAAATGTCGAGCACATTACGCAGCTGTTTGCATATCCTGATATCAATGCATTCTAAGGTCCAGATGTCCATGTGTGGCAATGCTCTCAAAAGCTGAACAACATCAAATACTGTCTATTTAATAGATTGCCAGCACCTGGATGCATGATGCCCTTAGTTGATTGACAAATCATTTGAAATCTTCATTGCAATTTCAGATTTAAAAAAGTAATAGTACATATTTAGAACTTCATTAACAAAATTGTCAAAATATGACCTCTTGCAGTGACTGATTTTTAAGTTAGATGTGCTTGGATATGATTAGTGACCTCCATTATCTTCATATCAAAAAGTCTATGTATTCAAGAAATCATTTTTTTCACCTCTAAACATCACAAGCCTCAACCTTAGCTGTCAGTGGCTGCACCTGAGTGCTATTTTGGCTTTTTTTCCGTTTCTACAATAGCTAAAATTCAGATGCTTTTTTTAGTTAGAAACTGTAAGCAGGCAAGGGTGCAAGGCAAAACTTAGAAATGTTAGATTAAATCAAATTCAGAGTTCATGTTCTCTAGGTAGTAGCCTAACCGGAAATAATGTAATGATCTCAAATTAATGCCATAAATAGTAGTAGAAAAAAACATATAGTGGCTTGGTTACAG